GGGGGACGAGCCGGGGCGTCCCCCCGCCGAGGGCCGGCCCGACGCCCGTGCCGAGGCAGAGGTGGGGAAGCTGGTGGCCAGGCTGCAGGACGGAGGAGTGAAACCGGCCGGCAAGGCTGCCAACGGGCTGGTGGCCAGCCCTGCCCTGAGGACCAACACGCTGCAGGCCAGGAGACCGGCTCCTCGGCCCGGGATCTACGGCAGAGAGGGTGAGCGGGGGCCGGTGCACCGGGAGCAGGGCGAGGGGGGGCTTCTCGCCCTGAGCCGTCCCGAGGTAGCGCCGGGAGGCTGGAACAGCCCAGGGTATGGGCACGGGCCCGCAGCCTGGGCCTTTGATCAGCCTCGCCCCCCCGAGCCGTCCCATTTGATTTCAGATGGGGGTACTTGGGGTCTGTGGCTCGTGGGGGGTCTCGGCGCAGCGCACAGAGCCGGGTGTGGAGCCCGGCCCATGCCCAGGTGAAGCCGCTGCCCCCGGGGTAGCTGAGCCAGTGCTCAGCCTGGTGCAGTGGGCTCTTAAAATTCAGCCCTGAGTAGCGATACAGAAAGAGCATTAAACCCGAAGCAATTTGTCTAAGCAGCCGTGAGCACTCTGGATTGCCAGTGCTCGCTGCAGCAGAGACAAGGAGAATGGCGAAAGTCACTTTTGCATTTTAATTTCTCATCATTTTGTCTGTCGAGCTGCCTGTGACAGGGTCTGGCTTTACCGAGGCTTTCCTGGGAACATTTATTTCCGCAGTTCATCCATTGGCGTTAGATACACATAGTGATTATTATTTGTATTCTCATAAGTCTTGCACAGACATTTATCCTATGTAGAAATAATCAGTTTGGGGCCGGAGCCGAGCTGGCGTTGCCCATTTCAGCAGAGGAAGGCAGGTCTGTGTGCCCACAGACGTTCTCCCCTGCAGCGCCGGGCGCGGGCAGTGGGGCTGGGACCACGGCTGTTGGGTGCTGAGGTTTATAAAACACTCCGGGCGACAGACGTGATAAAAGCCATAATGCTTTCTGCACATTGTCAGCTTTTCCCGTGCACTTTGCAGTGCTTTTCAGATGCTGTCGTGCCCTGACAGCTTCCCAGTCCTGTATTTAGAACATAAAAACTGGGCTGCGTCCCTGACAACGGACACCCGCGTGCCGTGGAGAGAACAGCCCGCCTGGGTAGCACAGACGTCAGGTTTCCTCTGACTGACACTACTGGCTTTAATTTACATTTGTTGCCTAAGAGGTAGCTTTTGGAAGAGTAAGATAGCTTTTAAAATCGGTTTATACACCAACGGCCCTTACTGCTTCCGAGTTTGCTGGTCTTGTGCTATCACACGGGCCGTGCTGACAGTGTGTCCTGGAGGCACAGCGGAATAAAACTGGCTGTGTCCACCCTCGGACACGGGTGTGTGGACAGCACGGACGTCCTGATAGTTATATTACATCTGTGCTGATGCTGATCAGTGCTAGAATGCTATATTGAGCTTTAATGTGCACAGTCTGGGGCTCATTTTGAAAAACGGGAGAAGTGTAGGCTGAAGGATTGGAAAACAGGCCTTTTGCTGAGAAATTCAAGTTATACTGCTTACCAAGGAGAAAATTTAGGATCAGAATTTACACACACAGGTATGGAGGAGAGTTGGTTAAGGACTGGTGTTCAAGCTGGCACACCAGGGAAAAATGCGGTTCACTAACTAAGGGGCTGACAAAGCCTGGCTTCAGTAGTTGCAGCAATTAGTTCTTACCAAACAGAAAAACATCTTTGACATTTCTAATCAGAAACAGGACTCTTAGCAGTGGAAATAAGTTGGAAGGGGAGGAACCCAGCCCTCGGGATGGTTTTGAGCACTATAAATGGCCAGACGAGAGGATCACAAGGGCTGCTGGAGGTCTGGGCGCCGGCGGGAAGCGGGGGGCTCACCAGGGCTCCAGGAAAGGCTTGGGGGGTTCAGTGAAGCGCTGGGTCTGGGGCGGGGGGAGCAGCCGAGGCAGGAACCCGAGCAGGGGCAGGGGACAGGTAGCGCCACCGTCCGAGACAAAAGCTCAGCGAAGCAGCGGCCCTGGGCAGCAGGGATCGCCAGTCTGCGCAGTTCCCCTCGCCCCGCAGAGGTTTTGTTTAGGGAACTGGTCGTTCCCAGGCAATATCATCCGTGCAGTCAGCAACCGTGTCAGTCTGTCAGCCCAGGGTCCAGCTTCAGGTCCAGGAGGGCAGCGCCGGGGCAGGCAGAATGGGAACGGCCATTCCCGGGATTCTTTCCCTAAATTCTGGCTCCTGGCCACTCTCAAAGAGAGGAGGCTGGGGCAGGCAGAACTAAGCCCACCACCCTGTTTAATGCCTCTCCACAAACATCTCCACCAGAGCTTCGTACTCAGCGTTGGTAATCCTCAACCTTGCAGGCGAGTGCGACGGCGTCCCTAAGCCGCGATCCCACGGCGACAAGCCCGTGATAACGCGTCCCCCCGTGCGCCCTCCGGACCCCCCGTGCAGGGCTCCCGTCCCCCCGAGGCTGGAGCCGAGGCCGGACCTGGCGGCAGGATCGGCGGAGGAGACGCCTTCGTCCGTGTAAGGGCGGCCCCGGGCAGGCGCGTGGTCCCCGGGG